TGAAGTCGTAGATCACCATGGCAACGAGATTGATTAAAAAAGTGTCTGTCATTTATCATTTTTTTACAATGTTAATTTAATGTTAAATTGACGTTAAAGGCACTTAACTGAGAGTGGGAGAGTGAGTGTTTAGTTTCTACAGACTGTTGCTGCTACTGACAGTTTTCAGTGGATGCTGCTACTGACAGAGTTTTCCATAGATGCTGCTACTGACAGAGTTTTCCATAGATGCTGCTACTGACAGAGTTTTCCATAGATGCTGCTACTGACAGAGTTTTCCATAGATGCTGCTACTGACAGAGTTTTCCATAGATGCTGCTACTGACAGAGTTCTCAATAGATATTGTTACTGACAAAGCTCCCAGTAGATGATGCTACTGACACACCAACCAGATAGCTGCTGCAGCATATGGGCGCCTGGCAAACCTGAGAACAGCGTTCCGATACCTTAGTAAGGAATCGTTCAAGACACTGTACACCGTGTACGTCACGCCCATACTGGAGTCTGCAGCACCTGTTTGAAACCCACACTTGATCAAGCACGTCAAGAAATTAGAGAAAGTGCAAAGGTTTGCGACAAGGTTAGGTCCAGAGCTAAGGGGAATGTCCTATGAAGAAAGGTTAAGGGAAATCGGCCTGACGGCACTGGAGGACAGGAGGGTTAGGGGAGACATGATAACGACATACAAAATACTGCGTGAAATAGACAAGGTGGACAGAGACAGTATGTTCCAGAGATGGAACACAGAAACAAGGGGTCACAATTGGAAATTGAAGACCCAGATGAGTCAAAGGGATGCCAGGAAATATTTCTTCAGCCATAGAGTAGTCAGGAAGTGGAATAGCCTAGCAAGTGAGGTACTGGAGGCAGGAACCATACATAGCTCTAAGATGAGGTATGCTAAAGCTCATAGAGCAGGGAGAGAGAGGACCTAGTAGCACTCAGTGAAGAGGCGGGGCCAGGAGCTGAGTCGCGACCCCTGCAACCACGATTAGGTGAATTAGGTGAGTACAGAGCTTCCAGCACATGATGCTACTGACAGAGCTCCCAGCAGATGATGCTACTGACAGAGCTCCCAGCAGATGCTGATAGGACTAAGTCAGGTATTTCCCTGGTTGCTGATGATCTAGAATTAATGAGAAGAATAGAAACAAGTGAGGCAGGGAAAAAGTTACAAGTGGATCTGGAGTAACTGTTATTGTTCGTATAAGTGGCTGCTCGAATTCAACCCCAGCTAATGCAAAGTTATGAGGATTGTGTAGAATGGGCAAGAAACCCGATTCGGGGACAGAGGCTGGAGACCTCACCCAAAGAAAAAGAACTAGGGGTAAACATAGTGATCAGCATATCACCAGAGACTCGTATCAAGCGAATAACCTCCGCAGCCAATGCTCGTCTGGCAAATCTAAGAGTGGCCTTCAGGAATTTCGACAAAGAGTCCTTCCGAGAACTTTATACAACATACGTCTTGGAGCATGCAGCACCAGTGTGGAGCCCACATATGAAAAACCATGTTTAAAAACTGGGGAAAGTGGAGAAGTATAAAACAAGGCTTGTTCCTGAGCGAAGGGACAAGGACTAAGAGGAGGATGGAAGAACCAGGGGAGACATGATAACAACATGTAAAATATTCAGAGGAACTGACAGGGTAGACAGGCAGGCTCTTTGAGAGGCTTGAAACAGAAAGTTAAAGACACATATGAGCCCCGGGATTTTAGGAAAAAAAAAAAGACACAAAAAAATTGATAACAAAAGAACAAGACAATAGAAGTCAATTGTATGAACATACTTTCACATATGTGTTGGGTGTATGCTCACAGAATAGTGGTGCAGGGCTCCATTACATCCGTTTTAAGAGCCGGTACGACAAGGTTTCATGAGTTGATATACCACCATCCCTGTGTATGCACCATCAACTGTGTGTGCACCATCACCTGTGTGTGCACTACACCTGTGTGTGCATCACACCCGTGTGTGCACCACATCTGTGTGTGCATCACACCTGTGTGTACACCACATCTGTGAGTACACCCCACCTGTGTGTGCACCACACCTGTATGTGCACCACGCCTGTGTATGCATCACACCTGTGTGTGAACTACACCTGTGTGTGCACCACTCCTATGTGTGCATCATCACCTGTGTGTGTACCACACCTGTGTGTTCACCACACCTGTGAGTGCATCACACCTCTGTGTGCACCATCACCTGTGTGTGCACCACACGTTTATGTGCACCACACCTGTATGTGTACCACACCTGTATGTGCACCACACCAGTGTGTGCACCATCACCTGTGTGTGTACCGCACCTGTGTGTACACCACACCTGTTTGCCTTAAAATATCATGTTCTATAAGCAGGTTATACATACATACATACATACTATACTATATAAATATATATTATATATAATATATATATATATATATATTATATAGTTAATATATGATATATATATTCCATCTCAACAGAGACAGTCACTGACTTATACTTAACAGGAAATAGTCACTGACTTACACTCAACAGAAGTCAGTTACTGTCTTACACTCAACAGGAGAGAGTCACTGTCTTACACTCAAGAGAAGTCAGTTACTGTCTTACACTCAACAGGAGAGAGTCACTGCCTTACACTCAACAGAAGACAATTACTGTCTTACACTCAACAGGTATCTGGAGAGACGGAGAGTGACACGTCCTCACCCACCACCGGCCTAAGCCCGACTGACCCACCACTCAGATCCTTTAACCAGGTGTTGGCACTGCACGGTGCCAGAAAGTGAATGTTGGCCCTCCACGGTGCCAGACACTGAATGTTGGCCCTCCACGGTGCCAGACACTGAATGTTGGCCCTCCATATACGCCTCCAATAGCAAGTTTTGTATTCACTTGTCCACATCACAGGTGGCAGATCCTACAACCTGCAAAAGACTGGCCAGGAGATGCAACATCATCCCTATGAAAAGCAGGGACGCCACGGGTATGCTAAGTGTCAGGGGTCCAGGACTGTTTAACTACCTCCCAATATACATAATGGGGATTACCAATAGACCCCTGGCTATCTTCAAGAAGGCGCTGGACAGGCACCTAAAGTCAGTACCTGATCAGCCTTGGTTCGTACATCGATTTACGTGCGGCCAGTGGTAACAATTGGTTGATCAGGCCCTGATCTACCTCGAAGCCTGGTCACAGACCGGGCCGCGGGGGCGTTGACCCCCGAAACTCTCTCCAGGTATATTCATCTCGTGCATTATGGCACTGGACACTAGGGTTATGAAATACACTTTCAGTGATGCCTTCAACAATCGCTCAGCTACTAAGATACATCTAGCTTTTTCTCTCTCTGCGGATGTCTAAGGCATGTTGGCTCATGCAGAGGCATGTTGGCTCATGCAGAGGCATGTTGGCTCATGCAGAGGCATGTTGGCTCATGCAGAGGGCAGTGGCTCATGCAGAGCATGTTGGCTCATGCAGAGGCATGTGGCTCATGCAGAGGCATGTTGGCTCATGCAGAGGCATGTTGGCTCATGCAGAGGCATGTTGGCTAATGCAGAGGCATGTTGGCTCATGCAGAGGCATGTTGGCTCATGCAGAGTCATGTTGGCTCATGCAGAGGCATGTGGCTCTGCTCGGGTTAAGGCAAAGGAACTCCACTTTATCATGACATAAAATTATGTTGAGATTTTTAACCTGGAAGGTTAGCCACACGGGATAACGAAATAAAGTCAGTGCGTCTCTCTTTTTTCCATTGTGGTCCTTTAATCTGAGCTTCCAGATGCGATCCAGACGAGTCGACTAACACCCAGGTACCTACTTACTGCTAGGTGAACAGGGACAGCAGGTGTAAGGAAACATTTCTAACATCTCCACCCATTCCGGGGATCGAACTATGGGCACTCAGTGAGTGGGCTGACTTTGTGACATTTGTTATTCCCACCCGGGAATGACAAATGTTTGATTCCTGGTTCAATAAGATTCAAGCTTTAAATGCCCTTAATAACCTTGCTTCCCGACCCCCGGAAAGCAGGGTTCAGAAAGACACAAACTTTAGTGCCCCTTAACAACCCCGGGCTCCCAGGGCTCATAAGATTCAATCTTTAATAGCCCTTAATTACCCCGTATTCCCAGAAATCAGGGTTCAATTAGTCCTAAAGCTTTGGTGGCCCTTGACATCCGTGCTACCCGACTCCCGGAAAGCATGGTTCAATAAGACTAAAGCTTTAATGGCCCTTAACAACTGCAGACTCTCGGAAAGCAGGGTTCAATAAGACGTAAGCTTTGATGGCCATTAACAACCCTGAACTCCCGGAAAGCAGGATTCAATAAGACTCAAGCTTTGATGGCCCTTAACAACCCTGGACTCCTGGAAAGCAGGATTCAATAAGACGTAAGCTTTGATGTCCCTTAACAACTGCAGACTCTTGGAAAGCAGGATTCAATAAGACGTAAGCTTTGATGACCCTTAACAACCCTGGACTCCTGGAAAGCAGGGTTCAATAAGCTCAAGCTTTGATGGCTCTTAACAACCCTGGACTCCTGGAAAGCAGGGTTCAATAAAACATAAGCTTTGATGGCCCTTAACAACCCTGGACTCCTGGAAAGCAGTGTTTAATAAAACACAAGCTTTGATGGCTCTTAACAACCCTGGACTCCTGGAAAGCAGGGTTCAATAAGACACAAGCTTTGATGGCCCTTAACAACCCTGGACTACTGGAAAGCAGGGTTCAATAAGACGTATGCTTTGATGGTCCTTAATAACTCTGGACTCCTGGAAAGAAGGGTTCAATAAGACGTAAGCTTTTATGGCCCTTAACAACCCTGGACTACTGGAAAGCAGGGTTCAATAAGACTCAAGCTTTGATGGCCCTTAACAACCCTGGACTCCTGGAAAGCAGGGTTCAATAAGACTCAAGCTTTGATGGCCCTTAACAACCCTGGACTCCTGGAAAGCAGGGTTCAATAAGTCGTAAGCTTTTATGGCCCTTAACAACCCTGGACTACTGGAAAGCAGGGTTCAATAAGACTCAAGCTTTGATGGCCCTTAACAACCCCAAACAACAACAATGTCCTCTGCAGATCCTTCTAATTATGTGACAGTGGCAACTTTTGTAGTGAAAGATGAAGGTAAACATTACCTTATTTTTCTTTACGTAACAACCATAGTAAAGACAGTCTTAGTATACGTCAGCTTTAAGAATAAATCTTAATATTATATGAATTCAGCTTTAAAAAGTGAGCTTTTTCTTTTGTTGTTAAAATATAGCCATAATATAATCATATGTTTTTTATGTTAATTTTGTTAATAGAGGATAAAGCTGCATGTATACTGAGTATGTATATTTAAGTATGTATCTAAAATGCCTAGTATACGTATGAATGTGTATATACATATCTGTATATACGTATCTGTGTATATACGTATCTATATGTATGTACCCCTCAAGGAAGGTTCCTTGATGCTGGTGAGGGGCTCTTGATCTAGGGAACTGGATCTGTGCTCCAGTTCCCTGAGTTAAACCTGAATACCTTCCATCCCTCCCCCAAGCACTGTATAATCCTATGGGTTTAGTGCTTCCCCCTTGATTATAATAATAATAATATATGTATGTATATACATATATACATCATACCCCCGGCCGGGATTGAACCCGCGGTCATAGAGTCTCAAAACTCCAGCCCGTCGCGCTAGCCACTAGACCAGCTAGCCACAATAAGATTCATCCAACTAGGTATATTTCTACACCATAGGAAAGTTAGCACAGGCACCTCTGTGACCACAAATGCAAGTTTTTACAGACGAATCTCCAGCTAGCGTGGCCGTGACGAACTCTAGCTCAAGTCCCTTCACTGCCGTCAACATGACTTAAGAAATCGTAATGACACGATTGCAAATAAACCATACCCCCCGGCCGGGATTGAACCCGCGGTCATAGAGTCTCAAAACTCCAGCCCGTCGCGCTAGCCACTAGACCAGCTAGCCACAATAAGATTCATCCAACTAGGTATATTTCTACACCATAGGAAAGTCATTACGATTTCTTAAGTCATGTTGACGGCAGTGAAGGGACTTGAGCTAGAGTTCGTCACGGCCACGCTAGCTGGAGATTCGTCTGTAAAAACTTGCATTTGTGGTCACAGAGGTGCCTGTGCTAACTTTCCTATGGTGTAGAAATATACCTAGTTGGATGAATCTTATTGTGGCTAGCTGGTCTAGTGGCTAGCGCGACGGGCTGGAGTTTTGAGACTCTATGACCGCAGGTTCAATCCCGGCCGGGGGTATGGTTTATTTGCAATCGTGTCATTATGATTTCTTAAGTACATATATACATTATGTGTATATACAGCTGCATGATGCTTGTCGGTTTAGCGCTTTATTTGATTATAATATGTATATATGCATATGTACATTTTTACTTTTAATAGCGATATTATTATTACAGTCATGGAGTGAGTGCTAAACCCATAGGAGGGTCATATGGCACCTGTGGGGGAATTGGGAGGTAATAAGGTTCGATCCAAGGAAGGGGAGGTCGGGTCCAATCCTTGGCTCGAGAAGCACATATTTGTGCCACTGAATCTTTATTGTTGTTTATATATAATATATATATATATATATATATATATATATATATATATATATATATATATATATATATATATATATATATATATATTATATATATATATATATATATATATATATATATATATATATATATATATATATATATTATATATATATTATATATATATATATATATATATATATATATCTTGTACTATAGTATCACACATTACATATATCCTAGGTAATATAAGAACAGCCTGGTTGACCAGGCCCAAGACCATGCTCTGGGAGCAGAAAAACTCTCAGAACTTATCGAAGATATATCGAGGATGTGAAGGTGACCCCTGTAATCAACCACAGGTATAATGTGAAGCAATTGCAAATTTAAAATAAGGTGTTCAGTGCATGCCAGTCATTTATAGAGAAACTATAATCTCTTACTTTTTGCATTTTTATTGAAAATTCTTTCTATTATATAAAACATTACTCGTTCTGTTCATGTACTGTTCGTGCTTAGGTCTGGAATCTGTGTCCGAGGATGTGATTTCAACTGAAGAAATTACTTCTGTGGTGGACGAGAATAATTCTGAGTCAGGGAGTGTGGAGGTGAGTGTTTGATACTTTTACAGTAATTTGGATGTCATTCGTACTACTATATGTAAGGAAATCTTGTAGTAACAGAATATGGTATGTGTATATATGTATCTCTCTTATGTTTGTGCAAAACAACCACAGTGAAAAAAAAAGGGAGCTTCCAAACATTTTCTTGCATTATCAAGGACCTTGATAATGTGAGAAATCACAAAAGTGCTTGGAAGTTCACTGTTTTTTTCACAGTACTTGTTTTGCATATTGTGATACAGTATTGACCAGATTGACCACATCTGTGAACTATATTACAGATGAATGGTTCACAGAACCGACACGTTTATAAATTAGACACATGTGCAACTCTTTGGTATCTTTATTAAGGAAACGTTTCGCCACACAGTGGCTTGAAGCCACTGTGTGGCGAAACATTTCCTTAATAAAGATACCCAAGAGTTGCACATGTGTCTAATTTATCAACTATATTACAGTTCGTAGATATGGTTGTAAGAGGCGGCTAAAATACCGGGAGAAAGGGGTTAGTAACCCTTTCTCCTGTATACATTACTTCAGATAAAAAGAGAACTTTTGTTTGATATGATATCCTAAATACAAATTGAATCCATATCAGAAGTAAATGTTATTATCCACACTTAATTTTGCACAATAATATTTGTGGTTTCTAGGTTAATGAGACTAGCTTAAAAGAAGTACCAATAATAGTAGTGGTATCATTGCTACCCCATTATATTGCTCATGGTATTTTCATGACTGACCATTTGACTCCACAATAACCTGTGTCAAGTAGTCTTAAGTAGTCTCTAAGCATTAGGATTAGTCTTCCCAAAATGAACAGCATTACTTAAGAAATCGTAATGACACGATTGCAAACGGGCTGGAGTTTTGAGACTCTATGACCGCAGGTTCAATCCCGGCCGGGGGTATGGTTTGAACAGCATTCTAGTGGCTTTCTTTTATGCTTAACCTGTAAATGGTCCAAACGTATATATACATTTTTTCAACATTTGAAAGCATGTAAAAAAAGTAGATCTTCTTTTTTTATTTTTACATTTGAAAATGTGTAAAAAAACTTTGATCTTTTTTTTTTTGGTTATATTTGAAAATATGTAAAAAAAAAAATGTAGATATACTTTTGGAGCACTACACATATCAACGTAGATCTGCTTGGACCATTTACGGGTTAAGAATATTTTATTATGTGTAAGCTACATTTTGTATACTGCAGAAAAGAAATAAAGTTGTACTGTATTTTATTATATTAGTTAAGGAGTCCATTACCTACTCAGGTGTTATGATCCAATGGCTGAGAAGGATTGGTGTTCAGTTTCTTCTGTGTGTTTTATGAGAGATGGAAATATTTACAGGTGAATGTATTGGTTTATCTGTACACAAATAACCCGCACGTAGGAGAGGGGAGCTTACAATGACGTTTCGGTCCAAGTTGGACCATTTGCAAAGTCATGCTGTTATTTGTGTATTTTTCCAGTCATGGTATTGTGCATTTTTGTTATAGCCATTTTGTAACATTTTGTCTTTTCAGGTAAGCTACATTGATGCAGTTGAAACAACAGTAACTGGCTCAGATGACCTCTATGTTTCTGCTGGTCAAGATGATGAAGTCAGGGAACCTGAGGAGGCAGGTGAGTGACTTCAGGTTCCTTGACATCAGTAAAAGGCTCAGAATCCAAGGAATTGGAGTTATTCTCCCCTCTTTTGCATCAAACCTGGTTGTCTTTCATTTCCCAGGTGCTTCATGACCCCTGTGCACCTTGTGCTTTCCCTTGAATGTGATGATAATATGAGTTCAGTCCTGCCGTGAGTGGAAGATATTAGGAATATTTCACAATGTCTGTTGCCCCTGTTCATCTAGCAGCAAGACGGTACCTAGAATGTCCTCCTAGGTGTTAACCAACTCTTATGGATTGCTTTTTGAAAAAGAGGATTATGGGACCCCGATGGAAATAAGCCACACTGATTGGCATTCTTTTGCTCTCCTGGGTTACTAACACTCCAGGTTAATACTAATTCAAATAAAATCAGTTTTCACATCATTAAGAGGAAAATTTGCTATACTCAATACCTAGATGTTTATAATAATTGTTTTTCAGAACTAAATTATATTTTGTTGTTATTATTATTATTATTATTCCTAGGTAGTCGGCTAGTGGACAGCATCCGCCCAGGGAGGTACTACCATCCTGTCAAGTGAGTGTAAACGAAAGCCTGTAATTGTTGTACGTGATGGTAGGATTGCTGGTGTTTCTTTTTCTGTCTCGTAAACATACAAGATTTCATATATGTCTTGCTACTTCTAGTTGCACTTAGGTCACACTACACTTGCATATACAAGCATAAATATACACACCCCTCTGGGTTTTCTTCTGTTTTCTTATTAGTTCTTGTTCTTATTTATTTCCTCTTATCTCCATGGGGAAGTGGAACAAAATTCTTCCTCTATAAGCCATATGTGTCATAAGAAGTGACTAAATTGCCGAGAGCAAGGGGCTAGTAACCCCTTCTCCTGTATATACAGCCTCTCCTCACTTAACGACAAAGTTCTGTTCAAAAGACCATGTCTGTCAATGAATTCATCGTTAAGTGAGAACCATACTATAATGGTAGTGGGTCTGTGTCAACCATCTTTGATATTGTTTTAATGTCACCTTTATACCATTTATAACATTCCCGGTATACGTATTTTTAAACATTTATAAAGTAGTGTACTGTATATTGTAATAAACAGAACAGAAGGTATGCTTACTGGTCAGAGAGCCCATCGTAAATCTGAGTCGTCGGTAAACGAGTACATCACTAAGTGAGGAGAGGCTGTATTACTAAATTTAAAGGAGAAACTTTCGTTTTTCCTTTAGGGCCACCCTGCCTCGGTGGGGTACAGCTGGTTTCTTGAAAGAAGATTATTATTATTATTATTGTTATTATTATTATTATTATTATTATTTTTTTTTTTTTTTTTTTTTTTTCAACAAGTCGGCCGTCTCCCACCGAGGCAGGGTGACCCAAAAAAGAAAGAAAATCCCCAAAAGAGAAATACTTTCATCATTCAACACTTTCACCACACTCACACATTATCACTGTTTTTGCAGAGGTGCTCAGAATACAACAGTTTAGAAGCATACACATATAAAGATACACAACATATCCCTCCAAACTGCCAATATCCCAAACCCCTCCTTTAAAGTGCAGGCATTGTACTTCCCATTTCCAGGACTCAAGTCCAACTATATGAAAATAGCTGGTTTTCCTGAATCCCTTCACTAAATATTACTCTGCTCACACTCCAACAGATCGTCAGGTCCCAAGTACCATTCGTCTCCATTCACTCCTATCTAACACGCTCACGCACGCTTGCTGGAAGTCCAAGCCCCTTACCCACAAAACCTCCTTTACCCCCTCTCTCCAACCCTTTTGAGAACGACCCCTACCCCGCCTTCCTTCCCCTGTAGATTTATATGCTTTCCATGTCATTCTACTTTGATCCATTCTCTCTAAATGACCAAACCACCTCAACAACCCCTCTTCTGCTCTCTGACTAATACTTTTATTAACTCCACACCTTTTCCTAATTTCCACACTCCGAATTTTCTGCATAATATTTACACCACACATTTCCCTTAACCCTTTGACTGTCGCAACCCCCAATCCTGAGGTGTCTCCTGGTGTCGCAAAATTTAAAAAAAAAAAAAAATTCTTATGAAATGATAGAGAATCTTTTCCCGATTGTAATGACACCAAAAAAAAACTAAATTTGATGGAAAACTGACGGAATTACACTTTCACGAAGTTAGCGACCACAGCGATATTTACAAATCGGCGATTTCGCCCACTTTGAGCCCTATTTTCGGCTAATTCCATTGTTCCAGTTGTCCAAACTCATAGCTATTTCTTTAGAACTCCATTTTTTCTATCGACTGAGTACAAGATACTGCCCATTTACCGATTTCAACTACCTAATAATGTGGTCAGAAATTTGCAATTTGGCCAATTTCACGAAAACTAAAAAATATGACAATTTCAAAATAAGGTCCAGAATGAACAATGCAGACATTCCTGGCTCTAAAATAACATTTTCTTTGTTCATCAGTCGTGTCTCCAGGCCCCTCTGATATTACTCTTGCTTTCTATTTTGAATTTTTATTCAAACAAAAAATAGAAGACTTACTATTATGCAGACTACTGCAATACTGTAATAATTGTATAAATAACATCAACCCATTCATGACTGCATATTAGAATGGCTAGTTGAACATTTATTGGACAATGACATCATTTGTTTACTTTTGAACATTGGCAAAAATCAAACATTTCCCCTACTTTGAGCTCCATTTCTAGGTTCTTTTTATAGTAAAATCAATCAAAATCACCTCTATTCCATTCTATCAAATGAGACCAAGAAAACGAGAATACAGTGGACCCCCGGTTAACGATATTTTTTCACTCCAGAAGTATGTTCAGGTGCCAGTACTGACCGAATTTGTTCCCATAAGGAATATTGTGAAGTAGATTAGTCCATTTCAGACCCCCAAACATACACGTACAAACGCACTTACATAAATACACTTACATAATTGATCGCATTCAGAGGTGATCGTTATGCGGGGGTCCACTGTACAACCATAAATACTATATGAAAATAGACCACAAATTCGGCATTTTAATTAAAAAAAAACGGTTGGAGTTTTTTTTTTCTCATTATGCACTGCATGCTCCAGGATTTTTTTTATATGGTGCACACTGACCACACAGACCCATTCTCTCACATGTGGGCCTACCAGCTTTCTCCTGCTTGATTTGAAGCCGCTAGAATTTATGAGTATATATACGTCAAACACGGTACCTCGTGAGACGTATATATACGGCCGCGACAGTCAAAGGGTTAAACAGGACATCTCCACTGCCTCCAACCGTCTCCTCGCTGCTGCATTTACCACCTAAGCTTCACACCCATATAAGAGTGTTGGTACTACTATACGTACTTTCATACATTCCCTTCTTTGCCTCCATAGATAACGTTTTTTGACTCACATATACCTCAACGCACCACTCACCTTTTTTCCCTCATCAATTCTATGATTAACCTCATCCTTCATAAATCCATCTGCCGACACGTCAACTCCCAAGTATCTGAAAACATTCACTTCTTCCATACTCCTCCTCCCCAATTTGATATCCAATTTTTCTTTATCTAAATCATTTGATACCCTCATCACCTTACTCTTTTCTATGTTCACTTTCAACTTTCTACCTTAACACATATTCCCAGACTCATCCACTAACCTTTGCAATTTTTCTTTAGAATCTCCCATAAGCACAGTATCATCAGCAAAAAGTAACTGTGTCAATTCCCATTTTGAATTTGATTCCCCAAAATTTAATCCCACCCCTCTCCCGAACACCCCAGCATTTACTTCCTTTACAACCCCATCTATAAATATATTATTATTATTATTATGATTATTATTACTATTATTATTATGATTGTAACTTATTATTGTTACTACTATTATTATTTTTATTATTATTGTTACTGTATGTTCATAAAAGCTAAATTTCTCTTGTTAGCAAGACTGTTTAAACCACTGTGTTCTGTACCACCAATGCACCGCACATATATCACACACTTAAGAGACAAAATTATAGATGGTGTTTCTGTGCATCACTGACCTTTATCAAATCAATCTACTGTGTCTCAGTAATGGTTCTGAGCAGATCAAAACATTGCCTGAGGTTTCCTCTCCAAAACGTACAGCATTTGTGAATTGGTCCAACTATGACACTAGCATGTTTGTCTTTTGTAGATGGAGGTGGACGAAGTTTTACATTGTGGAGTCTTCCTGCTGTGAGGACCTTACTGGATGTATATGAGGAACACGAACAAGCTTATGTAGACAAGACCATGAGACGCAGAGCATTTTGGGAACTAATTTCAGAGAAAATGAAAAACCAGGTAAAATATAGCCTAATCCATTGGATTTTAGATTTATTTGTTATTATAGTAGTATTGGGAATCTTGTACTTTGTGTTTTGTAACTTTTCTTTTTGAAGGGAGTTTATGAAATATCACATGTAGACATTTAAAGCCTATCTTGAAATGTTATGTGTTTATGAGGGTAATCAGAAATTTTTGTCAACGAATGTTCTTTTCTAGTTTATCATACAAGTTAGGCAGTTCTCACTTTTTATGCTGAAAAATATGAGGACGCAATTTTTCTTAGTACACAAGTGCAAGGAATAAAGCAGAAATCATGGAAAATAAAGCACAAAAAATAAATGGATGATGATTAGAAAATAAGAGTACATACTGGTAATTGTACAAAGAATGTCAGCTGGAAAAAAGTAATGAACTATCAGGTGGACTTTCACAGTGCAAAAAGCTGAAGTCAAAAAAACAATGTGATTATGGATACATTTCTTACCTTAGTATTTTCATAGGTAAACAACTTAACAGTCGATTACATTTTTTGTATTTTTTTTTTTTCACACACTGGCCATATCCCCCTGAGGTAGGGTGACCTAAACAGAAAAACGAAAGTTTCTGTTTTTAACTTTAGTATTGTACACAGGAGAAGGAGTTACTTCCCCCTTGCTCCCGGCATTTTAGTCGCCTCTTATGACATGCATGGCTTATGAAGGAAGAATTCTGTTCCACTTCCCCATGGAGATAAGAGAAGAGAAACAAGAACAAGAACTAGTAAGAAAATAGAAAAAAACCCAGAAGGGTGTGTGTGTGTGTATATAGTGGACCCTTGGTTATCGGTCATAATCCATTCCAGAAGGTCAGCCTAAATCCGAAAAAGCAGAAAACTGAAATAATATTTCCCATAAGAATTAATGTAAATCCAATTAATCTGTTTCAGACACCCAAAAATATTAACAAAAAATACATTTTTTAAAGTTTAACTATAGTTTTACATACAGAAAACAATGATAAATAAATATAAAGCACAAATTTTAATGATGAATGAACATTACATACCTTTATTGAAGACTTGTTGTCGTATTGAAGAAGGCAGGAGGGGAGAGGGAGTTGGGAATCCCCTCTGTGTAGTGTAGCCCCCTTGGGCTACACTACACAGCCATATTATTACACTACTCAGCCATATTATTACCATGTTCATTGAGTTTAATCGTTTCTAACAACTACCTTTACATGCCATCGTAAACAAAGGGAGAATTAATGAATAATTCATGCCGAGAATTCTAAACAGACGCATATGAAGGGCGATTACTGGGTGAGACGCAAGATTCACAGTTTTCTCTAACACTGAATCAGAGAAAACATAATGTTTACTCTCCACCCGACTCTCCACTCGATAGCATATAAACATTGCATGTACACTGGACCCCCGCCTTACGATATTAATACATTCCAGAAGTCTGTTCGAGTGCCGTTACCGAATGAATTTGTTCCCATAAGGAATATTGTAAATTAGATTAGTCCGTTTCATACCCCCAAAAATACACATAGAAAAGCACTTATAAAAATACACTTACATAATTGTTCGAGTTGGGACCTGATCGTAAGGCGGGGGTCCACTGTATATGCTATGTTTATATGCTATATGCTATGTAATGTGTTTCGTATATAATTTTGAAGAAAATATCATAGATGGATTAATGAAATTGTCTGTATTAACTTAAAATTAGACATTTAATGTGCTCAAGAGTGATTTATTACATCCAGTATGGCCGATCTCCGAAATAACGACCAATAACCTGGATAGAATTTCAGCCAAAAAAGCGGGCAAAAACCGAATTGGCCAATATCCAGAATGGCCAATAACCGAGGGTCCACTGTATATATGCTTGTACATAAATGTGTAATGTGACCTAAGTGTAAGTAGAAGTAGCAAGACATACCTAAAATCTTGCATGTTTGAGACAGAAAAAAGACACCAGCAATCCTACCCTAATGTAAAACAATTACAGGCTTTTGTTGTACACTCACTTGGCAAGATAGCAGTACCTCCTTGGGTGGTTGCTGTCTACCAACCTACTACTTAGGATTTTTTGTAATTCTTTCTTTCAACAAACCGGCCATATCCGGCCGAGGCAGGGTGGCCCAAAAAGAAAAACAAAAGTTTCTCTTTTTAAATTTAGTAATTTATACAGGAAAAGGGGTTACTAGCCCCTTGCTCCCGGCATTTTAGTTGCCTCTTACAACACGCATGGCTTACGGAGGAAGAATTCTGTTCCACTTCCCCATGGAGATAATAGGAAATAAACAAGAACAAGAACTAGTAAGAAAATAGAAGAAAACCCAGAGGGGTGTGTATATATATGCTTGTACATGTATGTGTAGTGTGACCTAAGTGTAAGTAGAAGTAGCAAGACATACCTAAAATCTTGCATGTTTGAGACAGAAAATCCTACCATAATGTAAAACAATTACGTACAGGCTTTCATTTTACACTCACTTGGCAAGATGGTAATACCTCCTTGGGCGGTTGCTGTCTACCAACCTACTATTTAGGATTTTTGTAAGAGGAGAGAGAGAGAGATTTTGGGAAATGTTAAGTGAATGTATAGGAGCCTTTGAACCAAGTGAGAGAGTAATTGTGGTAGGGGACCTGAATGATGAAGTTGGAGAAACTTTTAGAGAGGGTGTGGTAGGTAAGTTTGGGGTGCCAGGTGTAAATGATAATGGGAGCCCTTTGATTGAACTTTGTATAGAAAGGGGTTTAGTTATAGGTAATACATATTTTAAGAAAAAGTGGATAAATAAGTATACAAGATATGATGTAGGGCAAAATGACAGTAGTTTGTTGGATTATGTATTGGTAGATAAAAGACTGTTGAGTAGACTTCAGGATGTACATGTTTATAGAGGGGCCACAGATATATCAGATCACTTTTTAGTTGTAGCTACACTGAGAGTAAAAGGTAGATGGGATACAAGAGAATAGAAGCATCAGGGAAGAGAGAGGTAAAGGGTTATAAACTAAAAGAGGAGGCAGTTAGGGTAAGATAAAAAAAACTAATGGGGGATAGATAGACAAAAGGAGCATAGGAAATGGGGTCGAAGGGGGTATGGGGGGGGTTTTTTAAAAAGGGAAAGTTTTTAGAGTTTTCAGCAGAATTTTTGGTGGTTCCCAGGAAAGTGGGTGCGGGAGGGAAGGGGGAGCAAAGGGTGGAAGGGTGATGTAAAGAGAGAAATAAGGGAAAAATTTTACCTATAAAAATTTTTTTTACAAAGTAGAATGATGCAAGGAGGGAAGAGTATATGGAGAAAAAGAGAAGGTTAAGCGAGGGGTTAAAAGAAATTGTAAAAAGAGGCAAATTGGAGAGGGGGGTGAGATTTATCAAAAAATTTTTGTTGAAAATAAAAAAAGTTTGGGTGAGATTAACAAGTTAAGAAAGCCAAGAGAACAAAGGGAAATTTGGGTAAGTTAAAAATAGGAGAGGAGAGTTTTTTAAAAATGGAGAGTTAGGGTATTGGGAAGAGGAGGGAATATTTTGAGAATTGTTAAATTTTTGATGAAGAATAGGGCTTGTTTTCCGTTTAAATTGTAAAAAAAAACCCAAGGAGGAATAACATTTTGTGGGATTGGGGAAAGACCCTTTTTTTGTGGTTTTGGGGGAATTTCCCGGAGGCAGTAGGAAAATAAAAGGGGGTAAGGCAGCCGGGATTGATGGGGATAAAGAAAAAAAATTGTTAAAAGCATTTTGGGGTATGTTTTGGAGGGGTTTGGGGGCAATTTTTTTAAAAAAGTTTTGGAAGAGGGAAGGTACCTAGGGATTGGCAGAGAGCATCCCATAGTTCCTTTGTAAAAAGGGAAAAGGGGGAAAAAAAGGAGGGGAAAAAACTATGGGGGAAGAAAAAAGGGGAAAGGGGTCCCCCTAAAAAGGGGTTTGGAAAGGGGGGTAAAGGAGGTTTTGGGGGCGGGGGGCCCTTGGACTTCCAGAAAAGCGTGCATGAGCGTTTTTGATAGGATGAATGGGGGCCAATGATAACGGGGAAACCTGACATCTGTTGGAGTGTGAGCGGGTTTAAATATTTATGAAGGGATTCAGGGAAACCGGTTTTTTTCCCATATAGTCGGAACTTGAGTCCGGGAAATGGGAAGAAAAATTTCCCCTGCATTTTAAAAAAGGGGGGGGTTTTGGGAAATATTGGGCAGTTTGGAGGATGTTTTGGGTTATTTTTTTATACGAAATATGCTTCTAACCCTTTTGTTTTCCCTGAGCACCTCGGGAAAAAAGCATGAAAAATTTTGTGGTGTGGTGAAAGTGTTGAATGATGATGAAAGAAATTTTCCCTTTTTGGGGATTTTTTTCCCTTTTTTGGGTCCCCCTTTCCTGGGTGGGAAAACGACCGATTTTTTAAAAAAAAAAAAAAAAAAAAAAAGCCCTGCGGGGAGTAAAACCCTGGTAAAGTGTATGGAAAGGGGTTTTTAAATTTAAAAGAATTAAGAAAAAGACGGAGTTAGGATAGCAGATAAACCCAAGGAGGCTTTAGGAAAGGAAAAGGGGTGTGGGGACCAGGTTTTACAGTAAAAACATTTTTAAACATTTATTTAGATAAGCTAAAAAAAAGGCCCTTTTGTGGCTTTTATGGATTTGGAAAAGGCTATGCCCGGGGTGGTGGGGGGGAAAAGGGTGGCAGATTTTTGCAAGTGTAAGGGGGTAGGAGGTGGGGTTACTGAAAGCAGTGAAGATTTTTTATGGGGGGAAAGTGGGGGCTCAAGTTAGAGAAATTGGGAAAAGGGGGAAATTTTTTTCCCAGAAAAAGGTAGGCCTTAACAAGGATTTTAAATTTTCACCGGGGGTTTTTTAAAATTTAATTTTTAGATGGGGTTTTTAAGAGAAGAAAAATGCGGGTTTTGGGCCCAAGGGGCGGGGAGTTAAAAAGAAAAGAATCACACCCCCAAAGTTGGATTTTGTCACAGCTGCTTTTGCTGATGACACTTTTCCCTTTTGGGGAGATTCGAAAAAAGTTCCAAAAAT